GCCCGCACCCGAGCACATGCGAGCAAAACTCAGGGCCCTCCGGTCACCAGTGCTCGAAACCTGCCGCCACAGGCCGCCACTGGACACCAGGCACCAAGCGCGTGCGCTGGCAAGCAGGACTCTACTGCCAGAGAGCAAGTTATTTGGCGCGCAGAGCTCGCATTTGTTAGCGCAGAGTGTTAGCTCGCGAGCGACCAAAGTCATGGCTACGAGCTAAACAAGCTATGGTGCTGCGGTCGGTGACGGAAGGTACACTCTTGCTCTCATTGCTCACTGGTTGCAGGTCTCTAGTTCATACATACATACAAGATACGCTGCTAACAAAATAACTTCGAAAAATGTCGTGAATTTCTGACAATTTTTAGCAGATGACATTTCAATGAATAAAGAAAGTTCCTTGTGTCTCTACACTCACCTGTCCTGGTGGGGCTCCCTTGCGAGGACCCCGTCGACCCGCGCCTGTGAGCGGCGCCGCTGGCCGAGGACGTTGCCTCCAGGTCCGACGAGCAGTCGGCGTCCCCGGCGGTGGAGGCCGCGGCCCCCGCGGCCATGGCCGTGGCACCGCCAGGGTCGACAGCTGCGGCCGCAGCGGCCTTCGCCGCCGAGGCGAGCGCCGAGGCCAGGTGGGGTGGCAGCCGGTGCAGCGGGCCCAGCGCGCCCAGCGTCGCGCCCGGGCCGCCCCGTAGCGAGAGGTTCTGCGCCTCCCGACGGTCCAGCTTGTCGTAGCCGTACCACGACAGCAGCTCGTTCATCGCCGTCTCTGCATAATCCTGCGCCAAAACACAAACCTTTCCTTGAGATAAGGCGATAATTTGAGAAGAAAATAAACACTATTTTTGATCCAAGAATAAGGTGCTCACTGCAAACGCAATAACAGTGTAAAGTACTTAGTACACACAAGGAAGGGCCTACTTGCAAGCACACACACAAGCATGTATAATTGCCGATAATTGCCAGAGTACTCAAAGTACACTCTTCCTTGCATGTACGATACGGCAAATACTGTAACAAATACACACTTGTATATGACGTGTATGCTTGCAAGTCAACTCTTCCCCGTGTGTACAAAGTACACACTAAAAGCTTATGAACATTTTCTTCATAGCTTGCTCAGTTCTGTGTACGTGCTCCACTTACGCATTTTTAATACGCCAGTATGAACAAATTTGCTCACACGCCGAAGGGGTCTTTGGACCACCTTGTACATTGTCAGTATAGTTCGAGTTCGATAGGTATCAACAATATATCAAAGATATTCGGACGGAAATGGAGTAGCGAAAGGGGGTGCCCCCCTCACCCCGCGGTCGCCCTCGCTCCCGGCAGCGCCGCTCCCCCCAAAAGCTCATTTGAGGTCGGATTCGTTTCAATGCAATATGAGCCCCGCCACGCCGTCCAGGACGCCGGTGTCATTAGTACAACCCCTGGGGGAGAGATGCAAAGGGGGCCCCCTCGGGGGGGAGCAAGCCAAAACCAACAGCGAGGACAAAGAGTGCGGCCAACTCATTGCCAACTTGAGGGAAACGAGTGGCATGTCTGTGAACACATGTGGACATGGTAGTGTCCAACTCCATAGTGCACACTCTTGGGTGTTGGATTTGAATACTTAAAAGTGTCCAACAGTGCATTTGAACACTTGAGAGTGTCCAAAGCACCATGGCCAAACCTGAAGTTGAACACTTTGTAGTGTTCAACTTTACGTTCAAACGCTTTTTAGAGTTCAAATATCCAGTGAAACACAAGGTGCGCAACATAGTGTTGAGCACCTGCCATGTGCGCGCCAGTTGCACGCTTTATCTATCATCAGTGCATTCTGACGGGAACTCAACTGGACGCTCATAGCGCACAATGCCGCGCAGCAGCCTCTCTATGTCGCTAAAGATAGAATGTTTAGAGCAGCGGTCCGACCGACCACATCGACAGATGAGCCCTGCGCCTATAAGATGATGGCTATTTCGGGCTGCGGGTCGCGGCGCGCGTCGGAAGGACCGCCGCAGCACGCCTGCAGGCACGCCTTGAGGCACGCCCCAACAGTGCGGCACCGCCAGCCGAGGAAGTGTGTTACCCAACACCTGTGCGGGAGCGAGAAGCGATGCCGGCATCGGAGGCCTCGCACAAAAAGGACGGCGTGAATCTTTTTACGATATCAGCCGGGCAGTGTGACGTCCTTCGCATATACCTTGGCTGATGTCGCATCAATTGGTGTGACATTACGTGGTGTGACCCAAAACCAGTCACACCGATTGGTGTGACACATGCCACATTCACTGTGAAAAAAATCTAAATCAAGAATCTATCTTGAAAGCAGATGGTACAAATTTATGAATAGGGCTATGTTGGCGAGTACAAAATGTGCTGTCGTAAATTTACAACTGAAATTATAATTCAAGTTTACAAAATGTTTGTAAATTAACGACGATATTTTTCACAGTGTTAGTTTTTTCCAGCAGAGTTGCAGTCCAGTTTGCTATTGTTTGTTTGTTTCCCTGCTTATGGCGTGGAAGCTTATTCACCCCGCTGTGCCGTCCCGGATGGTCCCGGACACACGTGCGGGGGGCGCCAGGCGCTGCGTCCAGGAACGCGTCAAGGCCGCGTCGCGCAGTCCACCATAGGGCCCCGCCCTGCCGGGCAGCGCGATTGTGACCCAGATGGCCGCGGACACGAGAATGCGCCGGCCGAGCAGAAAAGGCAAACGGACTCCGGTGCATCTCAACTGGACCGGCTCGCATTACCTATGGGACCACTGGTGGCGACCGCTCCAGGGAGCGCCAACGGCACTCATGTAAATGACTTCTCTGCTGGTCGGTGTATTTTCAGCAGGCTGTTTATTTCGGTTTAATGGCCACACGTCACCTATGGCTGTGACGAGCTGTGACGAGCTGTGACGCGCTGTGTTCAGCTGTGACGAGCACACCCGACACAAGTCGACTGACAGCGGAGGCAGCCTTCTCCCTTTCGCCCGGGCATATCGGGTGACGGAATGACTGTCCCGGTTGGCAAGGAAAACATGAATAACCGACCGTGGCATCATCCGATCGCCGGCAGACACCAGAGAGGCGATGCGCAGCCCGTGCGACTGCTGACCGAATGGTGACGATGGGGGCTGCTGAATGACTCGGAAAATGTGGAAGAAGACAAGGGGCTTTGAAAAGCGAAGAAAATGGGAAAAGACTGAAAAGACTGCGGATTAATGGGGAAGTCGAAGTCGATACAATTAAAAGCAGGATAACTTAAATCGTCGAGGCTCCAAGGCCTCTAGAGGTCTACGTCTGCGGCGATCTATACTCGCGCGTTGGCGCTGGGCCAGAGTGCAATGGAGGGGTGAATAAGCTGAGGAGGGGGCGTTGTCGTGTGTGCAACGGTACGCTTTGTGGCACTTAGAAAAGTGAACTCAATACTGTGTGTTTCGGCAAGCCGAGGCGATCGTCCGTCAGCTGTTAGAGCGCTGTGCCATGCCCCCCCCCCCCCCCCACACACACACACGCCTACCACCCATGACCGCGGTGGACAGCACGGCGAGCGCGAGCAAGGCAATAGGGTATGTTTGTTCGTTCAGACCCGTTCTTGACTTGAATAACCGTGAGGCCTCCCGTTACAATAGTGTTGCAAAATGCGTATACTAGCCCGCACGCGGCCTGCGGGCGGGCGGGGCGCGGGCGGGGTTGCCTATCGTCGCTGACCAAGGTGCCCTACGGCCCCGGGCCCATGGAGCAACACGCCCGCCCGCCTGCGCATGCGGGGTAGGTTGGTCTACCCATTTGATGCAACTGGCCTTCCGGTCCCATCTGCGGCCAAGCTCAACGGTGGGGAGACTTGTTCTCGGCTGAGGTGAGCCAGGTGACAGTGTGGGGCACAAGTGTAGTTGAACCGATGGGGCCACGTAATCATTATCTATTCCGTATAATCCTTGGCCAAATTTTAAAACATTATCACTAAATTGTATCTTATTGGCCAAATTTGATGCCTTTAGAGCCTGAAATTCAACAAAATTCACGTGTAATCCCAGTAATCACGTAATCCTGTGCACATCCTCAATCGATGTGGTGGCCCCCTCGAGTTGAACGAAACACGGCCGCCCCACCCAGCCCAACCCTGCCCCGCCCCGCGCTTCACCCGCGTGACGTCCAGCGCCGCCACCCCTCTCCACTCTGGAGCTGGCCGAATCCGGTGAAGGGAAACCCATTACAGGCTCCGGTTACGTTACCCTAGGCCTCCGTAACGCTACACGCCGTTACCACCAGCATGGTTAGCGGAGGAGGAGGTCGCCCAGAGCGTCACCGATAGCCAAGCGCAACTGGCCCCACCGTCATGACGAGGACCTGGGGCGCGGCCAGGCCGGGCGGCGCGGGTGCTCGGACCCAGAGACCGACTTCAAAGCAAGCACGCCCGCAGTGTTGTAGCAAGCAAGCGGGGCCTTCAAATATTCGCGCGAGGCGCCCAGATCGGCGGCGACAGGAAATGCAAACGGGTGCAATTCACCCTTCCA